AGTAGTAGTAGTAGTAGTCGTCGTCGTCATAGTAGTAGTATAGTAGTAGTAGTAGTAGCAGTAGTAGTAGTAGTAGCAGCAGAAATAGAAGTAGTGGCATGTGAGTGGGCAGGTGGTGTCTGAGGGATACAGACCTATGAAGTGGGTATCGTTTGGTATCGTTTTTGGTATCGGTCTGAACCCATAATTGTTTCCCATCGAAGAAGAGAAAGAAGGGAAAATTAGCAACAATGAAATGGAATGTCCAGCTAGCATGGCAAACCATATGCAAAAAAACCTTGGACACACACTGTCTCGAGTGTCAACATTGTCAACAGGCAAAGATAGATTCCAAGATGTGTACCGTCACAAGGCTAGGTATCGTTTTTGGGATTGGTATCGTTTTTTCAAGGAAAATGCAAATTGCTCATTTTTGAAGAAACGTGAGCGCCGACCTTTAGCACTTTGCTCAAATGGTTTTGGACCGGAAGATTTCCGGATCCGGAAGCCTGTCACTGCAAGCCGTCCTAAGGTGGGCATACTTTGGGGGACCTTCTTCTTCAAGGTCCCTCGACCGTTCCGTTCCGGGCCGTTCCAGTTCCTTTGGTTGCTTCAATTCTTAGCATTCCAGCACAATTGAGCCGTAGGAGGTCCTTGTCGATTGTTCATGCATTCATGCACCAATCTTGCGAACATGGCCTTAAGAAGATATGAGCAATTGCTGGCGTTGTTCCATGTTCTTTAATAATCTGTCGATAGATCACCTGCGATGCAAGTATTGTAAAGTAAATCTATTTCTCTTGCCCCTTGGTCCAGAGATACCTCTCACTCTACAACTTCTTCGGCCATGTCACAGCTTCTTGCTCAATGCAAGATGATGCAGGAGTTCGCCGGGACCAGCGAAAAGGTCTGGGGTTTGGTCCCCGTGGTGTGCTTCCTCTTCGCTGGGGCCATCGTGCTCATTGCCGCACCTTGGAGTCGAATCAGTGGTCCAGTATGGTCCAGTGTTTGATTTCAATCAGACGATCTTGTCGATCCTGCTTGAATGTGGCTCTGACTAAGGAAGAATAACAAGTAAAAATCAATTGATATGAACACCAGTGACTCGACTCGAGGGGATGATAAAAACAAGCGGAGGAAGTAGTTTGACTCAGATATGTATTTGAGTGTAATTGCATTCAACACATAAAAACGCTTTCACCACTTCAAGTCATTGAACCGTTCCTGTGCACACCTTTAAATGCAGGACCGGTGTAAGAATTGGGTTTTGTTTATCACACAGATACTGGGAGTTTTATTTTGTGTTTTTGCTTCATCTCACAGATCGGAGTCCCAGTTCCGTGTGATCAGAATGGGAATTGTTCCTTTGCATGATGAAGTCCTTCTCATCACTTAAAATCGCTGCGGCCGTGCTGGGAAGTCACCAAGGAACTTGGTATTCTGTTCGATTCACACGTGTGGACCTGTGTGGCTGAGGCTGCTGGCTGATGGAGTCGATGGGAAGGACCGGGAAATAGGCTTTGCTTGCAGAGTGCAGTTTTACCGATGCCGATATGAGTTGTTTCAAATCAACCAAGAGCCTAAACACCCAGAAGTGGATCCAATTTAACCGACTCTATGGATGTGCTGTTTCAGTAGTTTACGTTATGCTAGGTCCATGCAAGTATCGAATCTGTGCGTCACTGGTACAGGAAGCTGACTCGTTCCACTATGAACGGAGTCTATCAGTTTTGATCGTTAGTTCAACTACAGGTGCCAGATCCAGATAAATCAATAGCGTGCAGGTGGTCTCATGAATGGTTTTATTGATTTGCTTTGAGCAATCTCACAATTTTGCCTTCATATCTTAGAGATCCATGCCTGAAAGATGGTGCTACTTCATGCCTCCTGGGAGCATGCATGTGGGACTCCATTCGATTTCCATCCTGCTGTGTAGGTCCCCAATGATCCCTCGATGGATTCTATATGATTCTATAGAGTTCTATGATATTTGGTGTCAGATCTTCATGAACTATTTGATTATCTCTAGAGCCAAGCCCAGGGAATTTGCTTTTCTGTGGTGCCAAAGATTTGGCGCGGACCTTTACCTACACGTACCTAAACATGACCGCACTGGCAAATCGTTTATGGGCTCAAAGCGTGTTGGCTCCTAAAATTGAAAGCCAGCAATAGCGGAGATATCTCACCTTTTTGCTTAAATAGTATATAGGTTGGAGGCCGTTGCTAGTAGGTTGGAGGCCATTGCTATTAGGTTAAGCTTGGGAGGGGACACAAACCCGTCACTGCAACAGGAGATTCGGGACAATGCAGAGCAAGACTCGTTTATCCTCAGATTATGGTGTAGTTGATTTGAAAGTGCATTTCCGTAACCACTCTCCACTCCGGTTCCCCCGATGAGGTGTAGAATCAAATTATGTTCTTCCCTGAGTGACTTACCAGTTTCCTGTGTGATGTGCACCCAGATGGATGTGCCCGAGGAGGATTTCCTGAAATTGCACTGGTGATGGGGAGCGCAATGAAGATATGGATCAGCGAAATGACACTTGTTTCGATCAGCTCTCAGCATTCCGAGTCTAACTCTCCTCGCTTCTAGGAACAAGTGCCACGCTAGTAGTAACAGGTGCCACGCTAGTAGTAACAAAAAGCCATTAGAATTAGATTATCTCCTATGCGATTTTTCAGGGAGCTTCTGCGTCCGTTTGGCGTGGACTCCCGAAGCCCCCAGAGCTCCGTACACTTCGTGAGGCCTTCGGCGAAATGACCGATCCGAATAGGGGACTCTTTGGAAAGACACAACCTTCCTTGAAAGAGTTCTGTCTCGCCACAACCGGAGAAGAAACAGATATGAAGCGCACACAATCAACTCAGCAACAAAAAAGGGAGACATCCGGAGGTGAACTGGGGCGTCTCACGTTTCAGAGGTCGAATCGACAGTTGTCGTGCGCCCTTTGAGCGTCACAGGGAGAGTCAGGAATTTCTCCCTGGCGTTTGAGGCGGTCCTGTGCTTTGATGGACCCCGACGCTACATGGGTGTGTCTCAGAAGGGTATGCCTTAGCAAAGATCAAGACCAACAATGAATTGGACTGTATTGAACTGAACTTGACAGATGGTTGTGAAATCAATGCCACAGCTAGCCAAGTCAGATTTTTGTTCAGGTTGAATCCAAACTCATCCCTCATGGTAGCATCATGCAAGCAGTCCAGCAGTGAGAAAAACCTGTGGGATCGTATCCGATATCCTGCTTCTTGTTGTTTTAATGTCAAGCAACTATTGCTGCAGTCAATGAGAGGCACCCCTTTTCAGACACCCCACAGGATCCGGGCAAACATGGGCCGAGTGAAGAGCCGAACCCCTTGCACTCGGCGCAAGCAGCCTGCGAAAAAGATGTCCGGGCTCCTATAGGCATGTGGAACCCACGGCTTGCTACTAGTAACAAGTGCCACGCTAGTAGTAATAGGTGCCTTACTAGTAGTAACAAAAAGCTATTAATTTAATTTAACTCTATTTCATCTCTTTAGAATTGGGGCTTTGTTTCGGATCTCCAAAGAATTCAGCAGTGGCCACCATCCAACCCTAGTTGACAACGGGGGAGCGGCGAAGGAGCAATGTTCTACAGGTACAAGGCATAGCCTCCACACTACTCAAATCCTCCTGACCCAGAGACGTTATTTCCGCACACAGAATGTAGGTACAGTGGTGGTGTCCGCCTAGACTTAGTTCCTCCTTGTTTCTACCCCTGCACCCTGCATCATGTGCTCAGACACTAGTGCACAGCTTGTGAAACAATTGCAAGTTACATCTGCAACTCTCTCACGGTGGAGGTCATCGCTACTAGGATGGAGGCCATCGCTAGTACTGTAGGTTGATCGGCGTCAAAATCTGCACGGTTGGCGTCTCTTGGGACTTGTTACTAGTAGTAAGGCACTTGTTACTAGAAGCGATGCACTTGTTACTAGTAGCTTCCTACCCCCCCCAAGATGTGGCCCTTCGGGAGGCCTACAGATCCGCCGATCCTGATGGAGGCACTTTGTGAAGCGCCTCGCATCGATCGAGCTCCAGTGACCTCCAGTGACCTTCGGCCGACTGTGGCAGCTGTGTTTCTCTTCGGGTTCAGGGAGGTGGGAAGACGGGAAGGTCCCGGGAGCTGCATCCTATCCAGGCATCATGGGAGAGGAATATTGAACAACCAGACTGGACAGAATGGGCCAGGTCTACAATTGTATGGCTGGGTGTTTTGGGATGTGTCGTTTGGGATCATTGAGAAAGCGTGGTTTGAATGGAATTGTTGAACAGCCATCCAATCGGAAGACTGTCAGGTGCCTCATTGTTGGCATGCGGCCAGCTACACCTCAAAGTGGTCTGGGGCTCCCAGAGCTACGGCTGCTCTGTGATGCCGGAGCTCAACTCACCACTGCGACTGACAGCGATGTGCTGAAAGGATGAGCTTTCTGGGACTTGAACAAAGATTTTTCGGGCGGATTGTCCGGTGACGGGGTTTTATGTGGAGTAGATCCAACAAGTTTTCATTGGATGTAGGGTCTAGGTGAGGTTTGCTGGCACAGCAGAAGTGAAACAGAGACTAAGATGTACCATGATGTACCTTTCTCCAGCATATGGTACCAAGTTCCTGTCTATATACTCGAGATCAATTCCAACATACAGTTGCCCAACCTTTGGAACTGGATCGTCGAACCGGGTTTAAGTGTTAAGTGAGGAGTAAGCTACTACGCGTGTGAAGCCATTACCAACGCTGGGAGGCATTGCAAAGCTCTCGTACGATTCCCTTGGAAAGCCCTTAGAGTCTTAGAGGCCATCGCTATCAGGTTCCTTTTGCTACTAGGAGCAACGGGCATCGCTACTAGGGGCGCTCCTGGCCTTACTACTAGTAACAAGAAGCTACTAGGAACAAGTGCCACGCTACTAGTAACAAGTGACTTACTAGTAGTAACAAGAAGCTATTAGTAACAAGTGCCTTACTACTAGTAACAAGCTATTAGGTTGGAGGCCATTGGATCCCTTTGGAAAGCCCTTCCTTCGCTGCTTTATGGTGAACTCTGCAAACTCGGGGAGCACCGCGGAGCCGAGGCAGCTGGTGCACCATGCCTCTGAAAGCCCTGGGGAGGCGATTCAAATGAGTTGAAAGCGGTTGTTGGAGGTTCAAGGTTCAAGGGATTTGACATGATTTACCTGTGTAGTACTGTTTTGGATGTCAACAGATGTTGAAAGTACAGTGCGGTAGAAGTCTTAGCTGCTGGTTTATGTATTTACATTTTTCAGAATGAGATACAGTTCCCTCGTCTTTCCATATTGGATGGTCGACCTTTTTGGCTAATCAGGAGTGTTCCAGCAAGTGTACACTGCAATTAAACACCAAAGGGTTTAGTCCAGTTCAGTGAGCTGCGTTTTCTTCACAGAACCTGCGATGTTTGTTCAATGAGGTCTCCAGCATCATCAATGAGGTTTGCAGGCAGCGCACCACAGTCCACACTCGGTTGGTTTGACGGGGAGTGGTTCAGCATTAGCGCGCACAAGCGAAAGAGCTGGAAGAAGTTGTTGAAGTGCACCTTTTGATCATCATGGAAGACGGCGAACTAGTAGCTTCTTGTTACTAGTAGTAAGGCCAGTAGCTACTAGTAGCGTCCTTGCTCCTTGTAGTTGTTGATTTTGTTGAGACCGTGTCGGTTTTGCTACTGGATTCCTCATGGAGCTTGCTTGGCATTGGTTACAGCGACGAGAGAATAAACATTGGATCACTGCCAGTACATGACGTTTTGCTGCAGTGCTATCCTTTTTGAAGTGACCCTAGTTCTGGACTGCCATCTACCTTACTGGCACTAAACTTGTTACCGTTGGTGAGGCATTGTGTCACACATTCCACGCCAATGACACCAAGATGAACAGATCAGAGGGCAGGGATGGACCGATTTTCCTGCCGAGGAAATGTATCAATGTTGAGATATTCAGTATAGGTTAAGAAAGGACATGTTTCAAGCCTGTTGCAATACCCCACAAGCAGACATGTTGAGATATTGGATCCTGCTCAAGGCAAACAACGGCGAATAGATTTCAAAGCGAGGCTTTATTGTGCATGTCCATGATGGTTTTTGCAGGCTATGGGAGAAGGTACCTTTTTTTTGGCACGAAAACCTATCCGGTGATATATAGCACTGCACCTTCTAGTGCTTAGAGGTGTATTAGATGAATTTGTTGCTTGGCACATAATATCCGTAATCCCCAATTGGCCTTAGTTTGATTGGTTGGACGCCGTTCAAACCATCAAACCAAGGATCTCCAGGATCCACTTGGACACCCTGGAGCGCTCTCCCTAAGTGTCTTCGTTTCCTGGCCTAATTGGCCCAGGGTAGCCCGGGGGCTGCGACCAGGCGTCCCCGAGGGAAGAGTGCCTTGCGGCCTCGGCTTGGCCAACGACCGGGGCACCCAGCGGAGGTGGAAGACGGCGAACTAGTAGCTTCTAGTTACTAGTAGCTTCTTGTTACTAGTAGTAAGGCCAGGAGCTACTAGTAGCGTCCTTGCTCCTAGTAGCGATGCCCTTTGTTACCAGTAGCTTCTTGTTACTAGTAGTAATGACCTCCACCTAACAGCTTCAAGCTACTAGCAGCAATGCCCTTGTTACCAGTAGCGAGGCACTTATTACTAGTAGCTTAGGTCAGGACGGGTTAAGGAAAGATGACGTGTTTGTCTTCAAAAATTGTGGACGTCCTTTGATATATACATATATACTGTACTCTGTTTAGCTTGAGGATGCTTGGGATATTGGACAGCTGAGGGAGAAAATCTTGACCAGTGATCAGCCCTGGTGCTGTCAACGAATCTTATGGCGATGGGTTCCTCGAGACATCTGGAGACTGTTGATAGCTATTGGGTTTATACGGTAGGGGTATGTAGGGTTGGAACCCGATTCCAGGGGTATCGGTGTCTACTCACTCTTTGGTGCGTCCACTTCTACGTGGAAGTGTTCTTCCTGACATTCCATGATATTCCATGACATTCCATATCCCAAGGTCCATGTTTTCCCTATGTATTTCTACCGTGCTTGCAAGGTGTTGGGACGCCCCGATGACCGAGACCCGCGGAGCCTTGCCTGTCAGTGTCAGGAGCTTGGATCAGTGGAAGCGATGATTGGCTCGGAAATGAACAAGCACTCTGAAAACTTTTGAAGACAACTTGAAGACAACCAGCTGTCGCCTTCATTTGTCTCTTGCCAAGAGATTGAGAGACAGAGAGAGTTTGTGTGTAGTCGTTTACCAAGTTTACCTTGTTCTTCGACGCTTTTTCCTCAAGAGCTTTCAGACATGTTAGTCCAACATAGTGCGACCGTCTAGGGATTTGCTTTTGAAACTATAGACATCTGACTTTGACAGAGTCAGATTGTCCGATAACGTGGCAGTTTGGCCGAAGGAGAGCATTGTAGGTGTTTTTTGGGTTCTGAACTCGCAAAGCCGCTAAGTCCTTGACCAAAATGTGTGAAGTGTCACCCTTTAGAGCTTCCCAAGATGGGTTAGAATGTATTTGGGCAGCTTGGGCAGGTGCCCACAATGCCCAGAGATCTTGTGTTTCGGCCTTTTCTTCGGTGTTTCTGGCCAACCAAAAGATCGGTGGCCGGAACTCACGGGCCCGGCGACGTCAAAAAGGCGCTGTCCGAAACTCCGCCCTTATTATAGCTTGTTTCTAATAGCTTCTTGTTACTACTAGTAAGGCACTTGTTACTAGTAGCGATGCACTTGCTACTAGTAGCTTCTTGTTACTACTAGTAAGGCACTTGTTACTAGTAGCGATGCACTTGCTACTAGTAGCTTCTTGTTACTACTAGTAAGGCACTTGTTACTACTAGCGTGGCACCTGTTACTACTAGCTCTTTTGGCGCCATCGAGAAACATGGAAGGATGAGTGATGCATATCGGTGCCAACGCGCAGATCAAAGAAGATACTGTACACAGAGAGAGAGAGAGGCAGAGACTCAAGGGAAGAAGTACCAGTTTTGAATCAAATAGCAAATTTGATCGACTTTCACTAATGCCTGCGAGCATCGATGACAGCTAGAAGAATGCATGAACAAACGCAGTTCCAGAAGACCTACATGATTCATGAGGATGATTCAGTATACAGGTTGTTTCCAGAGCCTTGGAAGGAACTAACATGAGCCTGAGCCTATGAAATGAGCTGTGACTCTGCTATCTTATTTGATTATGCAAAATGAACTAAAATAATCTGGCCTGATCTCGCAAGTGGACATTTAGCTCTTCAAAACTTCAGTACTAGTAACAAGAAGCTACTAGGGGCTACTGACCTTACTACCAGGAGCAAGGACACTACTAGGGGCTCCTGGCATCGCTACCAGGAGCATTTTTAGTACTAGTTCCAAGTCTAATTCTATTAATATGTGTTGAATTCTAGCTTGTTTCTAATAGCTTCTTGTTACTACTAGTAAGGCACTTGTTACTACTAGCGTGGCACCTGTTACTACTAGCGTGGCACTTGTTACTACTAGCGTGGCACTTGTTTCTACTAGCGCGGCACTTGTTACTACTAGCTTCTTGTTCCTGCATTCTCCACTTTTTCGCATGGCGCCCACCTACGGGGACTTGGGTCCCGAGGACCGCGTGGAGGCTTCGCTCGCTTCGCTGTGTCGGGTGCTTCAGGGCAGCAACTACTTAACCTCGGAAAGTTCTTTAAAGTAATGAACTCATTAATAATTACTCTTAACTAAGAATGTTTTTGGTTCATGTCGCTTTTGGCACCTTTAAACAATGAAATTTGGAGGTTCTGTCGCTGATTCTACTGGGTGTTCTTTGAATGGCAAAGGTTGGTGTTCCTTTGCAAGCTGCAGGGGGCTTGGTTTGTTGCACTCCAGAAGCCTGGAAACAACAATACTTCACATTCCGTCCTTTCTTTTGATACGGGTGGGCGATGTGGTTTGTCGCCATCTTTTATGTGGGCGATGGCCTCCAACCTAATAGCGATGGCCTACCAACTATTCGTAGATGCTTGTCCCTCGCAAATGGTTTTGCAAAAGCTTCCCATCTAGTAACAAGCAGCTACTAGGCGCTCCTGGCATCGCTACTAGGAGCAAGGACGCTACTAGGGGCTCCTGGCCTTACTACTAGGAACAAGAAGCTATTAGGAACCCTGTCCGTCTCGTCCTTTCGAGCGCTCAGTTCCCAGCCTTTCGATCCCAGCAGTGGATCAAGAGCGAGTTTGCCTCTGGGCGCAGCGTGCGTTAGAAGGGAAGAAAGAGTTTGGATCACCCAATTGTGTAGATTTTTTAGTTAAGTTCATTGGAACTGTGGGATAACTCTTTTTATGGTTTGGGCTACAATGTTTTGCGTGTTTGGATGCTGGCTTCTTGGACGCAAAACTACTGTTGTTTCTTCAAACTTCAGTGTTTACTGACTGTTTTTTTTTAAAGACAGTTTTAATATGTTAAACTATATGTGGTTAACTTTTCAGAATCATGCTGTACTCGTATCGCTTAGTTTGCATTTGCCGACAGAATTTCACAAGCAGGGCGACAAGGAAGTTCATTGTTTTTTTTGTTGAGCCGTTTTTGACGTTGTTCATTGTGTATGCAATTGTATACATATTCTTAAGTGAAGTTCAATACCTTCCATGTATTCACATATACTCAGTCAAGGGTGTCTCATGTGCCACGAGTCATCCAGCCATTCGGTATAAGCAAATCCGCTGCACGAGCATTTGCACAAGCCTTTTGTCAGCTCTTTCAACCCTTGGTTTTGCATTTTGCACGCTGGAATAAGTTCCCTGCAAGCGAAGCAGAAGCAGTGCTGCAAGCAGATCCTTACTACATCATCCAAGGTTTAAATAGGTTGAACAAAGCTCCTATGAGGATGCAGACGGGGGGTTCTCCGGGGACTTCAGCAGGAATCACAACGGTGTCATTGATTTCACAACATTGTCATCGATATCACAACATTGTCATTGATTAGTCGTGTGATTAAAATGGGGTGGGGGGGTGGGGTGGGGCTAAGTCGATTTCACAACATTGTCATCGATATCACAACATTGTCATTGACATGACAACATGATCAGACATGTGCAACAATCTTGAAACTAGACCCTGCCTGGGGAGATGAATACACACTCTTTAAACATATCACACGCTGCTAGACATTTAGGAACAATCAGACATAGGGTTTTGTGAAGCCGTGCAAGAGTACTGTGATTTGCAGTGTAAAAAAAAAAAAAACACCACATCCATTTTTCACTGGCGCCAGCAGTATAATTGAAATGCAATACGCAAAAAACAATGAAACCGCACCCTGCTTGGGGAGATGAAAAGAACTGTTTCCAACATCTTGATTTACCGTGTTCAACTTCACGCGTTTTTTTGTTTTCAATCCGTTGCTCTTGGCACCGTTTTCAATGCATCAAAACATGCACACTTTATCAGAAACACAGGCAGGCTCCGCGTTTTCGACTCGTTTGACGTTGTCACTGTCCCAAGGACCGCTTGCGGTGTCCGTCGCCGATGCTCACGGGTGTGGAGATTCAACCTGCGTTTCTTGGACACTGCAGGGCGGCGGGTAGGTGCTTGGATCACACGAACAATCAGAATTGGTCAGTATAGAAATACATAGGAGTTGATCAAGGGGCCTGCGTGGCGTTGGAGGCCATTGCTAGTATTGAGACCATGAACGACTCTCATAGGTAGATGGCTTTGTTTTGGCCTCTGGGCTTCACACTTTGAATCGTGTCAGCTAAGTGGGTACTACCAACATGTTTCTTGAAGCGGGTAACCATGGGTAACCATTGGTAACCGTATGGAATGTTTAGAACGATCCCGCATCCTGGAGCAGATGTGCCAAGCTCACAAGGAAACACGTTCATTGCTCCAGTTTCCCACTTTGAGTGATTCCCAAAACGGAAAGTCCGTACGCTTCCCACCTGATGGATTGGATGTCTTTCCCGAGTGGTGGTGAATGAGTCATCTTCGATGGCATGAAGAGGCTATTGTCGTGACACATCAACATCATCAACTCCACCATCGCACTTGTTGCACTCTTGCACCATGACTCAACTCGGTGACCCCAACTGCAAGGTTCATGAGCAACTTCCCTTCAGTGAACCTCTACCCAGGGAAGGCCGGAGAATTTGGTCGGGTGAAAGTCGGAAGGAAACCATCAAACCTCCCCGAACGAAAGAAATTTTGAAGTCATTAGCTGGCAGACAAAGCTGTCCTTTTCTACTAGAGCATGCCTCTAAATGCAGCTGCAACCCGCGGCTGGTTTCTCCGTCAACAGACCTCTTGGCTCACAGAGCTGTGCTTCCATTGAAGCCGCAAAGCCCCTGCAAGCTAGCCTCTCAGCACCTTGCGCCATGATGCATCCTTTCAATCGAGAGG